CATTCATTCATTCATTCATTCATTCATTCATTCATTCATTCATTCATTCATTCATTCATTTATTCATTCGTTCATTCATTCATTCGTTCATTCATTCATTCGTTCATTCATTCATTCATTCATTCATTCATTCATTTTTACATTCATTCATTCATTTGCTCGTTGGCTCTTTGATTCAATCGTTGAGTAATTTTTTATCTGTTCATTCCTTTATAAATTTTAAATATATCTATCAATCCATCTATCTATTTATTCATTAATTCCTCTCTCCATCTATTTAATCAACCATCTATCTCTATCCATTCACACATCCATTCATTTATCTATTCATCCATTCATTCATTCCTTCATTCCTTCATCTATTCATTCATTCATTCCACCCATCAGAAAAAATATTGCTTTATTACTTTTTTGCTTCCTCAGACGGAGACACGGATGACTCCTTCTTCAACTACAACAACAACATCAACACACTTCACTCCTTGATTAATATCATCATCAGCATCTTCATCGTCGTCATCATCATCATCATCATCATCGTCGTCATCATCATCATCAACAACAACATCATCATCATTTTTACCTTTATTATCTCATTCACCATCGGTATCGTCATTATGATAGTCACCGTCAACAAACTCCATCAAGAGCGTTTTTGTAGCAAACGTCATTTCTCCGCTTCCTTTTCCTCTTCTTCTTCATCTTCATCATCCTCATCTTCATCATCCTCATTTTCATCATTTTCATCATCCTTGCTATTGTCTTCTTCTTCTTCTTCTTCTTCTTCTTCTTCTTCTTCTTCTTCCTCTTCTTCTTCTTTTTCTTCTTTTTCTTCTTAGTCTCCATCATCATTTTCATCTTTCTCATCTCCATCCATTCATTCTATCTATCTCTCTTTAATATTTTACAGCACCGCCAGTAGTAAAACTCAAGATGTAATAATCTCGTGACGACTGACGGTCGTCATCGTCGTCGTCGTCGTCACCATCATTACCACCACCTTCATCACCATCACTGTATTGTTGTCATCATCATTATCATCATCATCATCATCATCATCATCAACATCATCATCAACATCATCATCATCATCATCTTTATTGTCGTCGTCATCATCTGTATTATCGTCACAGTTGTAACCACCATTGCCACCATCATCATCATATTTATCGTCGTCATCATCATCATTATTACCTTCATCATCGCATTTGTCGTCATCAACTCAGCATACTTACCATTATCATCCTTAGCGTTCATCAGTTAAAATTATAGCAGGAGCAACAAAAATGCATATGAGAATAAGAACAAAACACTCCAAAAAAATACAAAAATATAAAATATACTGTAAAAAAGAATATAAAATACTTCAAAATATATCAAAATGCGCAAAAAACTAGATAAAAATGAAATAACACAAAACAGCAAACAAGGTGAGATTGTTCATTTTGTTTGCCCAGGCGAGCGATTGAAACATCGAATGGAAGCTTTGTATAAAATATACAAAGTCCCAAACATACATTTAGGTAAACAAACAAACATACAAACAAACAAACATATATGCACGAATGCACATATACACACATACAAACAACTAAATACAAATAACAAAACATGACTCATTAAGATGAAACCATTAAGCATATGGACATTAAAATTTAAAATTTAAAATAAATGTAAGCAAATTACTACTACTATTACTACTACTACTACTACTACTACTACTACTACTACTACTACTACTACTACTACTACCATTAGTACAACCACCACATAAACAATACAACAACACAATCGTCATAAAATCATCAACAAAAGCACAACTTGATATATTTTCGGGTTACAAGCGAGTCACGTTCGTAGCATTTAAAATGGCTATACATAGAATGCATACATACATACATACATACATACATACATACATACATACATACATACATACATACATACATACATACATACATAATTACAAACAAACAATACATACATACATAAAATACACACAAACAATCAAATCGACATTCACTTACAAACAGTTGAAAGAAAAAACCCGCATTAAAACAACACTATCAAATAAAAATGGATCAAATGCTTTCTCGAGTTTCCCTCATTAGAAACACTTCAATGGCCGATTCAACACTACTTTTTTTCTTTCTCTCTCTCTCTCTCTCTTTTTCTCTCTCATCCTCTTTATTTATCTTTATTTTTTTTTGTCTCTCTTACTTTATCACTTTTTATTTTTCTTCCTCTTTCGTTTTCCCTTTATCTCTTTATTTCTTTTTTTATAATTACATAAAAAAATGCTATTATGAAGTTGCAAATTGCCATTCAACAAAGCCCCAACACGTAGCCACTATGAATACTCAGTGCTTTTGAAATGAAAATGAAAAAAAAGCAACAAAAGTCACGTGGTATTAAGAAGACCACGTGATCTTAAGGAAGACCACGTCACCGGAAGTCTCCATGGCGATAGTAAACAAAGGAGTAGCAGTGCTGATTACGATGTTGAGATGATGGAGAGAAAGAAGAAGTTTTTTTGCTAGAGAATGAGTTAAAAATGGTAATCAATATATAATGTTATATTTATTGGAAAATAAGGAAATTTGTGGTAAACAATGAGAAATATTATTATTATTATTATTTTAAATACTAAATATTTTTTTAACCGCCTGATGGAAAAAAATATCGCCTAGAGCAAGTGTCCTTAAACAAGTAGATTTCAAGATTAAGGCACACGCACACACACAAAACACACTCACACACACACACAAATACAAACAAAAACACACACACATACATACATAAACATACATACGCAAGCAGATTTCCATAGAAAAATATTTATACATGTATTTTATATCAATCTAAATGAAAACACATACAATGGCATGCTTACATTGTACGCTTACACA